GAGTCATTGAGTGAGTCATTGAGTGATTGAGTGAGTGAGTGATTGAGTGAGTGAGTCATTGAGTGAGTCATTGAGTGAGTGAGTGAGTGAGTAAGTGAGTGAGTGAGTGAGTGAGTGTGTGTGTGTGAGTGTGTGTGTGTGAGTGAGTGGGTCATTGAGTGAGTCATTGAGTGAGTGAGTGATTGAATGAGTGAGTGATTGAGTGAGTGATTGAGTGAGTGAGTGATTGAGTGAGTCAGTGAGTAAGTGAGTCATTAAGTGATTGAGTGAGTGAGTGATTGAGTGAGTGATTGAGTGAGTGAGTCATTGAGTGAGTGTGTATGTGAGTGATTGAGTGAGTGAGTGATTGAGTGAGTCATTGAGTGAGTGAGTGATTGAGTGATTGAGTGAGTCATTGAGTTAGTGAGTGAGTGAGTCATTAAGTGATTGAGTGAGTGAGTGAGTGATTGAGTGAGTGATTGAGTGAGTGAGTCATTGAGTGAGTGTGTGAGTGAGTGATTGAGTGAGTGAGTGAGTGATTGAGTGTGTGTGTGAGTCATTGAGTGATTGAGTGAGTCATTGAGTAAGTGATTGAGTGTGTGTGTGTGAGTCATTGAGTGAGTGAGTGAGTGAGTCATTGAGTGAAAGAGTGAGTCATTGAGTGAGTGAATCATTGAGTGAGTGAGTGAGTGAGTCATTGAGTGAGTGAATGAGTGAGTCATTGAGTGAGTGAGTCATTGAGTGAGTGAATGAGTGAGTCATTGAGTGAGTGAGTTATTGAGTGATTGAGTGAGTGAATCATTGAGTGAGTGAGTGAGTGAGTGAGTGAGTGATTGAGTGTGTGTGAGAGTCATTGAGTGAGTGAGTGTGTGTGTGTGTGTGTGTGTGTGTGCTTGTGTGAGTGAGTCATTGAGTTATTGAGTGAGTGAGTGAGTGAGTGTGTGTGTGTGAGAGTGTGTGTGTTCCACTCACTGCTCATCATACGGAGAGTCTGACACCTGCAGCACTGATGCCTGGAAATCCTGAATCACCTCCTGAAAGAGTCACATTGACTGATCACACACACACACACACAAACACACACACACACGCACTTCACACACAGATTAATTTGTGAGTTCCTCCAGATCTTACGTTACACATGTACGTGTGCCAGGACTTGGTGACTGGAGGGAGTTTGTCTTTCTTGGTCCAGAGCGGCGGAGCTCCTTCCCTCACGGGCTCCTGACACACACACACACACACACACACACACACTGTGAAGTTTCAGGAGTTAATTCGGTTTTAGAATGCGGTCGGAACTACTGTAAATGACTGAACTGTGTGTGAACAGAACAGGATTAAGCACTGAAAGTGAAATGACAACTGAATCTAGCTTCAGTGTGTGTGTGTGTGTGTGTGTGTGTGTGATCCGTAGAGAACCTTTACCTTTGATGCAATCATGTACTTAGGAACCGTGTCGATGTTCATCTCCTGAAACAGCTCGCGGCACTGCATGCTAATGAAATCACCGGCCAGAGGAGACTTCACGATCCCTGAACACAAGAGCACACGTCAAACACCAGATGTTCCCTGACGTGATAGACTGAAACACCTAATCCCCGCTCCTCTACTTACCTTGCTGCAGGACGTACCCATCATGCACTGGGATAGCAGTGGTGTGTGTGGCTCCGCTGTCCAGCACCAGGCCGGTGGCTCGACCGTTAGCAAAGCTGCGGCCAATCAGGTTAAGGTGCGTACAACATCATTAACACATGAGGCAACTCAAGCTCACGAGCACTCTGGCTTCTGATTGGATACGCGGTGAGCACGGCGGTCTTGCACAGGAAGAAGGCGGGAATGTTGTAATGCTCGAATATGAGTTCAGTGAGCTTTTCTCTCTTCGCCCGTGAGTTCCACTGTCACGAGAGAAAACCAGTTCAGGTGAGGATAATAATCCCCGCAGTTCTTTCAGATCGAACTCAAACAAGCATTCAACCCTCTGGTGCTCTTCGCGTGTCGGACGAAAATGACTGAATTTGTTTGGGGGTTTTTTTGTCAATGAAATGAATGTACTATATTTTAGTTTTAGTTTGAAAAAAGTGAACTTAAAAAAAGTAGCAAAATTTTACATGTATTGTTATGAAAAATACACAAAAATACTATTTTCAATTTTATAAGAAATATATATATTTTCAAATAACGTTTTACTCTAAAACTGCAAGAAAATCAAAGCCATAAATCAATAAAGTTGTGTTCCAAATTTGAGGTTGATATCTCAAAAAATGAGCTTTCAGTAAGATTGTGTATCGCTGCAGTTCCAAACGCTTCCACTAGAGGAAATTCATCTCCCATTCATTTATAATGCATCATTTTTTAACCACGAAGTGTGACTATTTTTGTCAGGACTATATAACTTGTTCGAATTATGTCCATGATTTTTTTTGTGTGTTCACATAGCAAGTGCCAAAACCTTTACCAAGTTTCGTACCATTCCAATGAAGTAAAAATTCTAAGAAAACAAAGCGTAAAATTTTTCGGTCAAAAATTACCGAAAAGCACCAGAGGAAGATTCAGCAGTTTCCAGATGTCAAAATAATAATGTTGAACTGAAATGTACATCTAGAGCTCATGTGCATTACATTTGCATTCATCCAAAACAACATGTGGACAGTAACAAAGTATTTTTAAGTACATTTTCTCAAGTATTTTTATTTTGCGAAACTCACTACTTTCCAAATGATTATATTGCACTTTTTACTCCACTACATTTCCTACACGTCGTTCCTCGTTATTTCGAACTGAAGAAATCAACATCCGCTCCGAGACATGTTAGCGACGTCCGCTTCCTAAAAAGGCTGATTCTTTTCACTGATCCTTGATTCACTGATTGCAGTCAACAACTCACTGAGTCAGTGATCCAGTCAGAACGAATATACATGTCTGAGTACTTTGAATACTTAAGTACACAAAAAATCTGTACATTTTACTCTAATACTTGATTTGTGTACTTTGTCCACCACTTTACATTTTATCAGTTCACGCATTCACTGAGAATCGAACCCATGACTTTGGCATAGCGAGCGCCATAACCTACTGAGTGCTGATGTACTTACGGGAGGTTCGGACATCAGAACAGGGTGTAAACTGGGCTCAGATTTGATGTGTTTGCTGTAGATGTGGTCGATTATGGCTTGAAAAGCGTTCCAGTCCTCAACTAACGGGGAATACAATAGAAATATGTAGAAAATACTTTTGCAGTCTATGTTAAATGATTACAATGTGTCATACTCATGCCGTTCTTGAGTGGAGAGATGAGCTCTACACCGGCCCGTGGCACATGAAGTGCAGTGGTGTCAATGTAGTAACTCCGCCCACTGTTGATCTCTTGCTCCGCCCCCATGTCAGCTTGCCCCTCCTCCTCTGTGTGCACTCCTATAGTGGTGGGGAAATCCGCCTGAAAATAATGAATGTTCAGTACAATCATATTCTAGTTACTATTTTCCTTCAGGACGATTCTCAAAGCTTTGGGTTTTATGGGTGGATGATATTAAGTCAAGTCACCTGTATTTATACAGTGCTTTATACAGTTCAGATTGTTTAGAAGCAGCATCACGGGAATAAACAGGATAATAACAGTGTTGCAAAAATCATCAATTAATTATCAATTAAACAACTTTAATTTCATTTAAATAAAAAAAGGGTGTTTTGATGGAGGGATGGGTGGAGGGATGGGTGGATGGATGGATGGATGGATGGAGGGATGGATGGAGGGGTGGATGGATGGGTAGATGGAGGAATGGATGGATGGAGGGAGGGAGGGAGGGAGGGATGGATGGGTGAATGGATGGATGGATGGATGGAGGGAGGGATGGATGGATGGATGGGTGGGTGGAGGGATGGATGAATGGGTAGGTGGAGGCATGATGGATGGATGATGGAGGGATGAGTAGGTGGAGGGGTGGAGGAATGATGGGTGGAGGGATGGAGGTATAATGGAGAGATGGATAGATGGATGGATGGATGGATGAATGGATGGATGGATGGATGGATGGATGGAGGGATGGATGGGTAGGTGGAGGGATGGAGGGATGGATTGCTGGATGGAGGGATGGAGGGATGAGTACGTGGATGGATGGATGGAGGGATGATTACCTTGGGACAGTCCTCTCCTGCATTTCCTGCTCTAGTGGAGAAAGAGCCAATGTCAAACACCAAAGCTCCCACTTCATCTGAGACACACAGAGAGAGAAAGTTTAATTATTATCTCAGTATTAATATTGGACGTAAGGCGTCCCACATGGAGCGAGGTGGAGAAGACTGTGAAGCAGGCGAGATCAGCATCAGCACCTGGGCCCAATGGTATCCCGTATAGGCTCTATAAGAACACCCCCGGAGTCCTTAAATACCTCTGGAAGCTGATGAAGTTGGCTAGGCAGAAGGGGGTGATACCGAAACCATGGAGAAGAGCAGAAGGTATCCTAATCCCCAAAGAGAAGGACTCGTCATCCATCAGCCATTTTCGCCAGATTAGCTTGCTAAACCTAGAGGGAAAGATCTTCAGTGTCCTGGCCCAAAGGATCGCTACATTCCTGCAAAGAAACAACTTTGTTGATACATCGGTGCAGAAGGCCGGGATCCAGGGTCTCTCAGGATGTCTGGAGCATGCCAATATCATCTGGCACCAGATACAAACTGCAAAGAAGGAACGGAGAGACCTAAATGTGGTGTTCCTGGACCTAGCCAATGCATTTGGCTCAGTCCCTCACAAGATCTTGTGGACGGCCTTCAACTACTTTGGCGCACCAAACCACATCACAGAGTTGGTCAAGAGCTACTTTCAGGATCTCCAGTTCTGTGTAACATCTGAGAACAACACCATTGCCTGGCAGCAGCTGGAGATCGGCATCATGGCAGGCTGCACAATTTCCCTCTGGCATTCATCATGGCAATGGAGCTGATCATACGGGCATCTCGTTGGGTAGTGGGAGGCGAGAGGACCAAGAGTGGTCTACGTCTTCCGACAATTAGAGCCTACATGGACGACATGACCATCATCACAACAACAAAACTACTAGACGCTTGCTTCAGAAACTCCAGGAAAATATCCAGTGGGCAAGAATGGAGTTCAAGCCAAGTAAGTCTCGCAGCATCTCTGTCGTCAAAGGCCAACTAACAGGTGAGCATTTCTACATCAGCGATAAACCAATTCCAACAGTCCTAGAGAAGCCCATCAAGAGCCTCGGACGATGGTATAATGCAGACCTCAAAGACACCCAGCAACTCGAGCAACTCCAGCAGGACGTGGCTAATGGCCTTAAGCAAATCAACAACACTGCACTACCGGGGAAACTGAAGCTCTGGTGTTGTCAGTTTGGGCTGCTATCCAGACTCTTGTGGCCATTGACCATGTACGAGGTCTCGCTTAGCCATGCCAATCGACTGGAAAGACTAGTGAATTCCCACATGAGCAAGTCAAGTCACCTTTATTTATATAGCACTTTTTACAATTCAGATTGTTTTAAAGCAGCTTTACAGAGATAACAGGAAAATAATGTTGTAATAATATTGTTAAATATAAAATTAAATGTCCCCAACTAAGCAAGCCAAAAGCCAATGGCGACAAAGGTGAAGAAAGGCGAAAAAGGCGACAGTGGTCCAAAACTCCATCAGTGACAGAATGGAGAAAAAACCCTTGGGAGAACCCAGGCCCATCAGGGGGCCAGTTCTCTTCTGCCCAGCGAACGGACAGTGCATGATTATGATTCAGGCAACATTATATGTCAGAAGTTAGATTGTATCAGAACATTCACAATATTTATCCAGTTCCTCTGGTTGGAGGTCGGAGTCATCACGCCGGTATGGAGACGAGATTGTAGAGGTGTCAATGAGGCCTTCACAGCGCTGATGAGGCTGGCACTGCAGGGATGCGTTGTGGTCATGTCCAGGCGCAGGTCCTCCATCTGATCTGGATACGGCCCGGATCCGGCTGACTACAGTTAACCTCGGAATAAACAGAAAGACTAAAATTAGCATAGATGCAATTCTTCTTATGATGTAGCGAGTACATCAGGTGTTATAGGAAGTGTTCCCGGTTCCCGGCTGACCTAATCTATGCAGCCTAAGAATCATTTAACTGATTTGAATAATAGGAATGTATAGTGTGTTATGTGTATGCCAGGTCAAAGAGATGGGTTTTTAGTCTAGATTTGAACTGACAGAGTGTGTCTGCTTCCCGGACAATGGTAGGAAGACTGTTCCAGAGTTTTGGTGCTAAATAGGAAAAGGATCTCCCGCCAGCAGTCGATTTAGATATTCTAGGTATTATCAACTGGCCGGAGTTTTGAGATCGCAATAGACGTGAAGGACTATAATGCGTTAAGAGCTCGCTCAAGTACTAGGAGCTAAACCATTTAATGCTTTGTAAGTAATCAGCAATATTAAAAAATGTATACGATGTTTAATAGGGAGCCAATGCAGTGTTGACAGAACCGGGCTACTATGGTCATACTTCCTGGTTCTGGTAAGAACTCGAGCTGCTGCGTTTTGGACCAGCTGTAGTTTGTTTATTAAGCGTGCAGGGCAACCACCCAGTAGAGCATTACAGTAATCTAGCGTTGAGGTCATGAACGCATTACCTAATTGTTCTGCATTTGTCATTGAGAGCATATGACGTAATTTAGATATATTTTTATTTTTATTATCCATAATTTTTTTCTTCTAACAGGGTTAAAAAATAAGCAGATCTAGCAGCTTTTAAGTCCTTTCTGTACGCAATCGTGCTCTCCTTCCATGAAATGTGCTCCATGAAAACTGGCACTGCCCATTTCTAGCTTGGTTGAAGATTTCAAGTGTGCCAAGGTAAGGCTGGATATGTCCCTCACTGACTCCCGGGACCCTGTGGTCAGAGGTGCCGCTCCTACCGTAGCAACAGGGAAGGAGTGGACCCTAGCCACAGCCATGCTACAGGCCAAATCTGCTCTTCTCCATCGTGACGTAGTGGGCCACGTCTAACAAGGCAGAGGAGGCTTTGGCCTCGGAACTGTAACACCTCTCTGGCAAAAGGCATCTGCAACCAAACGCCAGATGCTCCAAAGCCGTAGCACAGGCCAAACAGGGTCGCTGGATGACGTGGGAGGGTGTCGAGAAGAGAAAACTCACATGGAGCGAACTCTGGGGCATGGATGAGGTTCATCGTCCGAGCTACGTATGATGTACTGTCCTCTCCCACAAACCTACAGCTATGGTTTGGACCTACCCTGCCCCCTGTGTGCAACACTCAAGCACATCCTGGTTGGCTGTAGGACCGGCCTCACTCACGGCAGATACACGTGGAGACACAACCAGGTCCTCAGGTGCCTAGCCGACAAACTTGAGTGCAAGAGGGTATCCATCAACACCCAACCCTTCAACAACCAGGACGTGCGCCGACACCCACCATCGTTCGTCCGAGAGGGGGACAAGCTGAGGGCTAGCCCCTCAAATCCTGACCCCAGGGATTGGCAGATGCGAGTCGACCTAGATCAGAAGCTCATTTTCCCT